GTGTTTTAATAGCTGATGACGCAACAGTGCGCGGATGTAGCAGGCTTTTTCTCTTATTGGGCTTTGATTTTCATTTTCATTTCTTTTCTCAAGTAATTTACCTTTTTCATCTTTGGCATTAATCCCGCCGGCGAATTTCCTTTGGAGGAATTGTCTAGCGTTCTCTTTTGTAAACGCGAGTTTCTTGAACATAGCAGATTTCGAATCTGATATAAATGAAATGAAACAAAGTCAAGGCTAGTACTCACTACACCTATCTGAAGGAATCCTAACAATATGCGTTGATTGCATTAGTTATTTGCTTATTCGTGAAATCCTAAAGTGCGCTTCGTATGTCAAAACAAGCTCAAACACATAGGGGCCGAGAAAGTAAAGATTCTTCGTAGAATTAGTTTAATAATTCAAGGATGATTGTTAGTTTGTGATGATTGCGTGTGTTCAGTGGTTTTGCTTACGGAATTAATGTCTGGTTTGTGTGAGGGTGTTCGATTCACCTCGTGCGCATTGTGATTCTGTTCACGATCGCCTCTTCGCCGGTAGACAATATAGAGTGACAACTTGCGCTGCCAACGTATTATTCATGGTTGCAGCGCCTGGGAGAACCAACCTAAGGATTCACGTACCGGAAGAACTGGGGTGGGAGGGCAGTGGAGCGCAATTCTCTTACGTTTCGCCTTCACGAATTCGCCTTTGAAAACGATAAAAGCGTGGAGTCAGATGCATCAATGCGTATTTAACATTTTTCCCCGGTACCCTCACGGTGCGAGCCATCAGGCTGAAAGCTACTTTAGCTGGCTTTTACTGCATTACATTATGAGATCCTCCGTATCTCCGGAGAGCGCACCTCACACGTGCATGGCCCTAAAATCACGTCTTGAACTTGATCACACCTAGAGTAACCTAGCCTTATATCCAGATAGGTCAACTGTTTGTTCCGTATTCGCCTAGGAGACAGTTAGAGATTTCTTGGCCTCACAACTCGTTTTCTTGCTTGAGCTGAACGTCGAGCGATTTAGAATGAACTCGTGTGTGCGACCCTCTGGAATTTTGTTCTGGTACCAGAACCTACGTCATTTAGCACTAGTTCTAGTGCTTAATTCCGATGTCAGTTCTCCATGATGATGCACTGCCTCGCTCATTTCGTTTTCCTTGACGGTCGGAAATACCCCGCTCTAAGCCGATTATTTCAACACATTGAAAAAACTCAGGTTCACATAGATCACACATGTTCAGGATTTGACATCCTTGCTTGCGGTAATATAGATAGTTGCTTTTCAAGAAATCGAACACAATAAAACTACCCTGTTTCTTCTCTCCTTGAACCTGTGACAGCCTCAAAATGATGAGCGTAAACTTGCGTAAATTTTGTGTTACGATTCGTATTTGAAGCACATAGTTGGCGTGACTAACGGCGCTGTTCGGCTTCGAGGGTGGGAGGGGCATTTTGCCCTTTCGCATTACTTTTGCGACCTCCTGTTAAATTACACGGCTTACCTCGGTGACACCCATGGGTTCTTGTCTAGTGTAAAGTAATCTCGTACTGCTGCATAGCATCACAAGAGTTCATAACTCTCCACCCGAGCATCGGCAGTGATAAATAGGTAGAAGCGAAATGCCCCCACCAAGCCGAACTACGCCTAAATTGCTTTCACTTTATTTCTAACCGTTGACAGTTCACGTTTATTGCGATAAATGTGTTTTATTTCAGATCTCGTAGGGGACTTTGATGAGGCTTCGAAGAACGAGGCGAAAGCTGAAGAGCAGAAGGCTTAAGTCAACAAATTCGGTTTTCCCGTTGAGAACATGAAAATTAAACTCTGCAGCCGTCGTTAAATTCAAACATTCGCGCTCATATGACTTGGGAGGCGTCTTCTTTTCCGCATCTCTACAATGATTTTCCATCCTGTTGTAACTGTTTGACCCTTCTCCCATGTATGTTCAGCGTTGTTTTTTTCGTTGGTTCTTGTTTTGTATACAGATTTTATAAAAATTCAAAAATTGGCTAATAAATTGTTAGCTTCATTTCAAGTTGTTGCGCATTTGTTAATTTCAAACATTAGTGGGAGCTTTATGTCATCCGTAGTGTCACAGTCGAGCTGATCCCATACTTGTTAGGTGCCGGTCCCAATTCTCTTTAATGATGTCATGTTCAAAATAAAGTTGGCAGTTGAAGAACAGCATAAGTTCCTTCTGTGTGTGGTTTACGGCCGGATCGTACCTGTTCAGAACTTTGAGGTGTTCTGAGGGTTTCTTTCCACGGAATTTTCTTTTTGTTTAGATTTATAAGCATGAATGAGGCTCTACAAACATCTAGTCAACTTCTTTCTCTCAAAGGTCAGTTTCTCGAGGTTTCATGACACGAAATTTTCTCTCCGAGGGCCTATTTGAAGCGCAAACGACATAGTTATTTGCAATGAGTTTAGAAATGCAGCTGTTCTCTAAACGGATGGGAGGATGGGTTGGGGGAGTTGGGCAAATTGATCGAAAGGATATCGTATAGGCAAGGGGGTAGTATCGTTTGATAGGCCGCATTTTTACGCGAAGGATTTAAGGAATCTCAGAATTATTAGCAAAGAAATATGTACGTATTGATTAGAATTTCCCAAAGCGCTCTGAGAGCGGGTGCAAATCAATTTCGGACCCAGTCAGCATGGTGGGGGCTCCACTTAATTTTCAGCGACGCTAGTCCAGATCACCTTAGGTCCTCGAATTTTTTTTTGTGTCTGAGCGATAGCACAGATGGGCAACCTTCCTTACATAAGGTGATCATGTTCACCTGGAATGTGCCGCTTTCGTCATATAACGTTGCGTGGAAGGAGCGTTAGAAGCTTGCGACCCTCCCTCCGTAGTCTTGGCCCCTCCCAAGGTGTGAGTTCCCACTCTCTTCACAATCGCAGTAGGACGAAGGGAGAAACGATAAAGATCCTAGTTGTCAAATTGTGGCGTAATAGAGGCAACTTGATGTCGTTATGAACAAGAAAGAAGTTCGTAGTCGAGTTTGAGTACGAGTCCTCCAGTTTACTTGCAACCTCAGCACGTTATTTATAAGTTCTTCACTTGCTTTGTGTCTTGCGAGATTGTTAGGGAGAACTTTTATTCAATATGGCCTAAAGTAGTCGTTGTCCTCGGAAGCCTGAACATGTTCCAGGGATTAGGTTACATTCTACCCCACCAAGCTCCTCGTCAAGTGTAGCGGTTCCTACTCGTGTCAGGAACCGCTCTAGAAAACCTAATCTCACGAGAGCTTTCCTTTTGCAGTGTGCTCGCACATGGTCTTGATCAAAGGGGTCTTATTTAATTTATTTATTTATTCGACGCTTTTTTTACTTTTGAATCAGGAAGGCGCCAATTAGAACCTCCCGTTATATCTGGACACGATCACTTTGCCATCGAAATTCTATGAACTTCTATTTTGTGCAACCTAATTACAACCCTGTGTCTAGACTTTGCTGATTTTAGGGTGCATAAATGTAAAAGCCAGTATATGCACGACTTCTTCCCCTCCAAAGAGGTTCTTCGTGCAAGTTTCCAAATTTGCCCAACCCCGCACCACCTCCCGGCAGGTGAGGGAGACCTTTCTTATGTGAGTTCGATGATGTGCACCGAGGTCTTGGTCGGGCCTTGTAATGAAGAAAGGGTCTTCATGGAGTGTTGCTTTCAGTACACCTTTCTTTTGATTGGTAAGGGAACCACTGATGATGTTAGAGTAT